TTGTGATAAGGGGTGTTACACTGTTGGTTACTGAATAACTATATTCAGTGTAAGAATAAGAGGTGCACATGAACTAATGGCTTTCCTCATAGTTTTCGTGTGAAAATAGTAACTTTTTTATTGCTTTTTAAAGTCTGTTTGTTTATTGTTTATTTGTAATTAAGCACAAAGCTACACAATGGGCTATCTGTGCTCTGCCCACCACGGGTATCGAAACCCGGATTCTAGCGTTGTAAGTCCGCAGACATACCGCCCTGCCACTGGTGGGAGGGTCATTTTTTTTAAAGTCCTTAAAATATGAGTGTAAATTTACTTCGAAACTGGAAGTTTCTAATTAACTTCTATATACGTTGAAAATAAAAACAGATTTAATTTCGAAATCTATTTTTTTTTTTTTTTTTTGTAAATTGAGGAAAATATAGATTTCCAATTTCCAATTTACTTGTTAATTTGTAAAAACTAGTTTACCTTCTAGCGAGCTTGAATGAAACTTCATTCCTGTATGGAAACAAAAGACTTAAGTATAATAGCGCCTTTTCCAGACCATTCTAGAAACAGAACAAAAAACTGAAAATTAAGAAGATGTATTTATTCAAGATTGTTTACTCTTTACAGTGTCGTTTATAACTACGCCTTATGGCGGTTTGTCAACAACATGATACCCTACCTAAACGGAGACTTCGCTCAGAAACTATCGGAGTTTCGGAAAGTTCTGCTAGGGGTCTCTGCTAATCGCGTGAGATGGAGCCAGTGTGTAGACCTAGTAAATAAGAAGATGGGGATGGCAGTGGGAGCAATGTTTATCCGAGACAATTTTGATCCATCTAGTAAAGAAACCGTGAGTACTTCACTTTGTATCAGTCTTCGTTAATAAGTTCCAGTGTCTTTGGTGTGAAAAACAACAACATCCCTCAGTGAAAAATAAGCAGAGAATCCGTAGTATGTAACTTACAACATCAATTTTTAGCACGAGATTGTACCTTTATGTTTGTACATGAAAATGTTATGATTAGGCGTAAACCACTGTGTTTTGTAACTATTTTATATAATACTGCGATAATGGATTTGTAAAATACTTTGTATTTGTAACGTGTACATGACATCGTTTTGGTTAGGTGTGTAATCCTTTGTTACTTTGTACATGACATCTTGTTGATTAGGTGTGTAATCCTTTGTTACTTTGTACATGACATCTTGTTGATTAGGTGTGTAATCCTTTGTTACTTTGTACATGACATCGTTTTGGTTAGGTGTGTAATCCTTTGTTACTTTATACATGACATATTTTTGATTAGGTGTGTAATCCTTTGTTACTTTGTACATGACATCGTTTTGGTTAGGTGTGTAATCCTTTGCTACTTTGTACATGACATTGTTTTGGTTAGGTGTGTAATCCTTTGTAACCTTGTACATGACATCGTTTTGGTTAGGTGTATAATCCTTTGTTACTTTGTACAAGACATCGTTTTGGTTAGGTGTATAATGCTTTGTTACTTTGTACATGAAATCGTTTTGGTTAGGTGTATAATCCTTTGTCACTTTGTACATGATATTCTTTTGGTTAGGTATATAATCCTTTGTCATTTTGTACATGACATCTTGTTGATTAGGTGTGTAATCCTTTGTCACTTTATACATGACATAACTCACAATCTTTAGTTGTCTAAGAAAGATCACTGTTGTTATTCTCAAGGCTCTTGAAATGATCCACAACATACGAGACGCGTTCAACGAACTTCTTGAAGAAAATGAATGGATGGATGATGCTACTCGAGCGGTAGCGAAGGCAAAGGTAAAACACATGTTCATAATCACATGCTGTATTATCAGAGTTGTAAATTATCCTAAAGGAACTTTACTTGGATGGCTAATATAGCCTAAATCGAAGTAATAATGTGTGTAGTTTCAATGTTATCAAATAACTGTAATTTTATAATGTGTAGTTTCAATGTTATTAAATAACTGTATTTTTATAACGTGTAGTTTCAATGTTATCAAATAACTGTATTTTTATAACGTGTAGTTTCAATGTTATCAAATAACTG